GGGAGGGTGGGGGCCTGAGCCCAGCAACCCCCCCTCGCTCGGTTCCCAATAGGCTTCCTTGGAGAAGGGGACGCAGTCACCAAAGCCATCCAGGATGCCCGGCAGCTGTTGCACGGGCACGGTGCGGCTATGGACAGCTCTCCCAGCACGCCTTTCCGTAAGGTAGGGGCCCAGCTCCCCAGCCCTAGTGTGGGCTGGGCTGGGAAACTCAGCAGGGGCCACCGCAGGGCAGGACAATGGCAGGGGGTGGGCGCCGAATGGCTGCTCCACAGGCTGTCCCTGCCCTCCCAGGACCTCCTCAGCCTGGACTCGTCCCCAGCCAAGGAGCGGCTGGACGAGGGCTGTGTGCACCCGCTGGATGAAGCCATGCTGAGCTGCGACATGGACGGTGAGGGCCCCGGGCAGGACGGCCCGCTGCTGCTGCCACACCAGGGCCAGGGTGGGTCCCGTCCCGTCTGCCTCTCACCCCCTGCTGTGTCTTCCCTGTCTTCTCCGGGCGGCCAGGCCTGTGCTGTCCTGCTGTCTGTCCGAGTCTGCTTTCCTACACTTGGTGACTCTGGGGCCTCCTCCATGCTCTCTCCCGAGGGGCCCGTAGCCGTGGCTCCCTTAGGTGTCTGTCCCTCTGGGTCTCGGGGTCCCTGGCTGGGGCTGATGCCCTGCTATATGCCGGGCAAGGCCCTTGGTGTCCTCGTCCCCTTCTGACCAAGTAGGGGCCACCTGGCTGACTCAAGCCTCCACCCCCCACCCCCACCCTGCAGGCTCCCGCCATTTCCCCGAGTCTCGGAATAGTAGTCACATCAAGAGGCCCATGAATGCGTTCATGGTGTGGGCCAAGGACGAGAGGCGCAAGATCCTGCAGGCCTTCCCGGACATGCACAATTCCAGCATCAGCAAGATCCTCGGTGAGTGAACGCCCGGCAGCCTGCAGGGCAGGGCTTGGTCCACCCCGAGGGAGTCTGGACCGGGGGTGGGGGGTGGGGTGGCAGCTGAGACCTGAGTCTTGTGCTGTTGTGGGACTCCTGGCAGCATCTAGACCCCAGGCCCCACCTAGGGGAGAGGGTTGTGTGTGTGCTTCCTGTAGCCCCTCTGAACTACCTGCCCTGGGCAGGGAGCAGGGAAGACTGTTGAGGGCCATCATTAGGGAGCAGACTGCCTCACTGTTCTTCCGTGGAGCTGCTGGCCAGTTTGATCTGCTGACCTTGTGATTCGCCGCCACCCGGTCTCCAGTTGTAATTCTCGTGCCATCGGGTCACTGCTGACCCATACTGACCCCTGTGGGTGTCTTAAGAGTCGAAAGCCCAGTGCTGCAGAACCGGTGGTTTTAAACCACCAACCGTGCGGATCACAGCCCAACATGTAACCCCTACACCATCAGGGCACCAAGCGTTAGTCAAAAATCTCAAATCAAGGTCAATTCAGACTCAGGGCAACCCCTATGGGGCCGGGTAGACGTGCCCCTGGGGGCTCCCAAGGCTGTAACTCGGGTTTGTTGGAGATGAATTTGCTTCTCGCTAAGACTCGGGTCCATTTCCATTTTACTTTTCCTCTTTAAAAAAAAAAGTTTAAAGCCACTCAGACCACTATTTAGGTTTGAGGGATAAGGACTCTAGGCCCATCTCAAGAAACTAAACCAACACTGTCCTGTCCAACCCTCCCTATCTGTGGTTCTTCCTCCGCATTCCCCTGCTGCACCCTCGACAACCCAGCCCTCCCGTCTCCCTGTGCCTGGCCCCCCGCCCGGCCCCCTCAGAGTCGGCACAGTCTAGTCGGTTGGTGTCTAACCCACGTCTCTTCCTCTGTGTTTTCCTTAAAGCAGCGGTGACACTAAATATTTATCTTTGTGAGAGTGATCGCGTTTGCTGAGCACAATGTGCTGTGGTGTGTGAGTGGTCATGGTTGTAAATCTTGAAAGGGAGCAGAAAGCCTTCTCTTTCTCCTGACAGGGAAGCTGGTGGCTTGGGTGGGGGCTCTGTGGTGCAGTGGGTTACGGCTTGGGCTGCTCACCTGAAGGTCGGCAGTTTAAACCTGCCAGCCGCTCCTCGGGAGGAAGAGGAGACTGTGTGCCCCCAGAAGGGTGAGAGGCCTCAGAACCCCTAGACAGGGTCGCTGTGGATCGGAGTTGACTCGCTGGCAGCGGGTTTGGTAACTGGAGGTTTCCGAAGAGGATGGAGGAGGGGGGCAGGGCAGCAGTTTTGGAGAGGCATTTCCAGCGTCCAAGCAGGTCCCTCGTCCACGCAGACCAAGTTTTGTTCTGAGCAGGGAGGCTGCCAGGGCTGGGGGCGCTGCTCTTTTGCTTATGCAAAGCAGAGGCCTGGGAGCCACTTCCAGGGCTCTTTGGGAGGCAGATGGTGTTGGGCCTTCAGCTGGCCACTGGACCTTCACAGACAGGCGGTTCCCCGAGTATGCATTTGCCCAGTGTCCAAGGAGGGTGCCCGCACCCGTCAGTCACGGCTGTGTTTAGCACGCTGGAGGAGGCTGGAGACTCTGGGTCCCACAGCTGCTGGGGCTGGCAGGTCCCCACTGACTGTCCCCTCCCTCCTCTCCTCTCTCCCCTCCCTTCCCCACCCCCACCCCGGCTGGGCCAGGCTCCCGCTGGAAGGCCATGACCAACCAGGAGAAGCAGCCCTACTACGAAGAGCAGGCTCGGCTGAGCCGGCAGCACCTGGAGAAGTACCCCGACTACAAGTACAAGCCGCGGCCCAAGCGCACCTGCATCGTGGAGGGCAAGCGGCTGCGGGTGGGCGAGTACAAGGCCCTGATGAGGACCCGGCGCCAGGATGCCCGTCAGAGCTACGTCATCCCGTAAGCAGGCAGGTGGGCGGAGGTGGGCCTTCGCCGCAGGCTGCTGTGTGAGTGTCCTCGAAGCCAGGGGTTAGCTGGTATCCAGCATGCTTACCTTGGCATGCCACCATACCTGAGGGGTGTGTGTGTGTGTGCTGTGGCTCCAGGGTTGGCAAGCATGGCCGCGGTGGGTACTTTGTGATTTCGGTGTTTTCTGGGTCCCGTCTCTGAAAAGCGGCAGCGCGCACACACCCAGAGGCACCCAGAGGCACTCCGCAGGCAGACAGAAGGATCCTGACTGGACCAAGAGGAGTCAGTCTCCTGAGTGGACTTCTTTAATTGTGCTTCCCCCGGTGCTGGAAACAGGATCCTTTCCAAAACCTGTTTTGACAACCGTCTTCCAGGAGGATCGCCTGATGATCACGCTCCTGTCTGGGGAGAAGGCGGGGAGGGGGAGGGGCTCAGGTGTGAAGCTGCAGTGACCGGGACCTTGGTCACCAGGAGGTAGAACGAGGCAGGGTGTAGGAGCCACGGACTCAGGCCAGTCCGGGTGGGTGCGTGGCCTGCAGAGCCCCCGGGGAAACCTTGCTAGAGCGGAGGGGACTGAGGGTGTGTCTGTAACTGCCTCTCGCTTCTTGGCCCCCAGCCCGCAGGCCAGCCAGGTGCCGCTGAACTCTGCCGACGTGCTGTACCCCCGGGTGGCCGGCATGCCCCTGGCGCAGCCCCTGGTGGAGTATGTGCCCCGGAGCCTGGACCCCAACATGCCTGTCATTGTCAACACCTGCAGCCTCCGGGAGGAGGGCGAGGGCGCCGAGGACAGGCACTCGGTGGCCGATGGCGAGATGTACCGGTACAGCGAGGACGAAGAGTCCGACGGCGAGGAGAAGAGCGATGGGGAGCTGGTGGTGCTCACGGACTGAGCCCCCGCCCCCACGGGCACAGCCCACCCACCGCCCACCGGACTCTGTTGGTACTTGGACTTGGGTATGCCCAGGAGCTGGGTACAGCTACGTACCTGTGCGTAACATTCTAGAGGGGCCAGCCCCCCTCCGCACCACGCTGCAGGCACCCCGGGGCTGCAGGCCTCGCTGGGTGGACAGGAGGGCATGGGGCTGGGGGGTGAGTTCCTCAAAGCCCATGGCCAGGCCACAGTGGATGACCAGTCCCTTTTGCCTGGGGGTGCCCTGCTTTGGGGTGTGGCAGCTATGGATCTGTCCTCCTGGGGGTCACATGCTTGTCTCCATTCTTACCCTGGCTGGGCCAGCCACCACGGGACCACGACCCCCACCCTCCACCCCTGGCCCCCTCCAGACCGCTCCTGTCTCCAGGATCCATTTGTGCTTCATGTAAAAGGGTCTGGCTGGCTGTCTTCTTCCTCCTCTGCCAAGCCCCTTGTGCCCCTGACTGCGGTGTGTGCACGCGGTAGCTGTCAGTCGCTGCACAAAGTATTTATTGAGCGAGCGCCCACCGTGGCCGGCACTCTTATTCAGCTCTCGGGGGGCATGTCTCTGGGGGCCTCTCCCTGCTCCTCCGTGTCCCCAAATGGCTACCTCTCTGTCAGTCTGGGTGTCTCAGGTTCTCTGTCTGTCCTGGGTCTCCAGGGCCCTTTGTTTCTGCTTCCAGTTCTGGGTTGTCTGTCTCTGGGTCTCTGCTGGCCCCTGGTCTGGGCCTGAGCTCAGGCCCTCAGTCTCCTGGTCCCCTCCCTGCCTCTCCCTCACGCCATGTTTGGCTCTGAGCAGCATGGGCCGGAGCCCCCAGCCTTTGAGGGTCTTCATCCTGGTGTCCTAGCCCCTAGTCCCCACCCAAGGCCCGCGTGTGTGGGGGGTAGGGGGGTGGCCAGGAGGACCAGTGGTGCCCCCTTCTGCAAGAGGCAGAGGCCCTGGAGCACGGGGACTCGGTGACACCTGGCCTCCAGTCTACCCTGTAGAGCTGGTGAGTGTGAGTGCGTGTGTGTGTGTGTGTGTGTGTGTGTGTGTGTGTGTG